TTGTCAAGCACCCTGGTCTAAGAAGACACATTTTTGCAGGAGTCTCCCTGAACAAAGGATTTTTTTTGAAGAAAAAAGAAAGATTGGGCAGCAGCTGTAATCACTTCAAAGCATTATTTAAATGTTTGGGTTTTCTAAGTCCCAAAATATTTCAGACAAACAAAACACTCTCCATTGTTACCCCTTCCTTCACCTCAAAAAACTGTAGTCTCTCTAGGCGAAGAGAGAGGATAAGCACTGTGGGGGTTTGACCTCTAATCTTAACTGTTAGTAATCTCCATAGATGTCCGTTAATCTTATCTGGCTTTGTTGTAGCTCTTGGGGGGACTAAAAATAGCTTTGCTACCTTTCCTAGATGACATACTTACAGCTTAACTTGCCCAGCATCGCCAAGGAAGTGCCCAGCAATGCCAAGCGCAGCCACTCTGTGCCATGCTGCACATGCAGTTAGCTAGAGCTGACTGTCCATGGGTTTCCCATTCAGTCCTTCTACTGCCTCTAAAGTCAAACCTCAGCTAACCAACATCATATAGCCTTCAAATCCTACTGCACTCACTGAGACATGACTTCCCTTTGCCATTCCTTCACACAAGGAGCTGACAATGCATTCTTGCTCCAGCAAGTAGTAACAACTGGACCCAAATATATATTAAAAGAAAACAAGCAAGAACATGCCAAAGTAAGTCATGTTCCTGGAAGCACATTCTTTGTCTTCCCAGGGTCACTAATTTGTCTTCTTTTCTGTTAGCTTCTGCTAATTTACAGCCAGAGTACTCACAGGGCATTCTCCACTCCCTTCCCCTGGCTGCAGTAGAAAAATACAGTGGTTTGGGATTCTTGCTAAAAACTTGGAGCTTGAATGTATGTATGTGTCTATATGCACATATATATAAATTTCTGCATGCATACACATATATCCACATGACCTGTAGTGTTCAAGAAAATACTGTTGTCCTGGGTTCAGCTACAGCAGTCATTTTTTCTCCTTCTTAGTAGCTGGTGCAGTGCTGTGTTTTTGACTTTCAGTCTGGGAACAGTGCTGATAACACCGATGTTTTTAGTTGTTGCTAAGTAATGTTTACTCTGACCAAGGACTTTCTCAGTCTCATGCTTTGCCAGAGAGGAGGGGAAGCCAGTGGGAAGCAGAGGCAGGACACCTGACCCAAACTGGCCAAAGGGCTATTCCATACCACAGCACGTCCTGCCCAGTATATAAACTGGGGGGAGTTACCCGGAAGGCCCAGATCGCTGCTCGGGTCGGGCTGGGTATCGGTCGGCGGGTGGTGAGCGGTTGTGTCCTTTTCCCTTGTTATTCCTCTTATCATTATTATTGGTAGCAGTAGTGGTTTGTATTATACCTTAGTTACTGGAGAGCTGTTATCTCAACTCGTGGGAGTTACATTCCTTCGATTCTCCTCCCCATCCCTCCAGGAGCGGGGGGAGGAAGGAAAAAGGGGGGGGAGTGAGCGAGCGGCTGCGTGGTTCCAAGTTGCCGGCTGGGCTTAAACCACGACAACTGTCCACAAACCTCAGAGATCACAGTCTGCTAGTATTACTGTACTCAAGCTGCTTTAGTTTGCCTCTGAGATCAAAGGCAGACACAGTTCATGTCATATCAACTAAGATGCAGGGGGTTTATGTGCTTAAATACTGTTGAATAACTAATAAACAACCTGATTATTTTTGTATGTGCAGCTTACAGCTTGACTGAGTTTTCCAAGTACCCACACTTAGCAGGGCAGTCATGAGCTCTCAGTGGCATCATCTTTGTCTGGCTGCTCTCTCCGGGAGCCAACAAGTACCTGGGAACTTTTTGCAAGCTTTTAGGATCTCTCTTCTCTTTGGCATATTAAGATTGTTGTGAGGTTGAGATAAATTGATTCGGGTTGAGATAAAACTGATAAAAACAAATATGGCCAAAAAATATATTACTAAAATGTCAACTCTCACTATTACATCAATTAGCTTGTACCAGAAAGTTGTGTATATGATAAATTTTCCATTTAAAGATCTGGAACATTCAGCACTGAAATGATTCTCAACAAAAATCATTCAGGATGCAGCAAGTATGCAAAAGGTTCTGGAAAGCAACGCTGCCATGAACCTCACTCTTCCCTGTCTTCCCCTGTGCCTATTTGTATCCAGTTAACACATGCTGCGTTTGACTGACGCAGGGCTGATCACTGCATCAACTTGCAGGCAAGTCCATTCCCCTTTCAGCATAAATATCAAGCAGCTGGCTATCCCTGAGAAGGTGCAGGTAAGTAGGGTTTGTCAGTTTTCACCTTTCTGTACTGAAATGGATCTTAACCACAGATCATTTTCCACTGACCATCTATAATGGGTTTGCTTCTCAGGATGAACCAGCATTAGATTGTTTTTCAGAGATACAGTAACTCCTTAAACAGTTAAATCGGGAGATGAACGCGCCTTACTTGGATACTTTGAATAGCTCATAGAAATAGTTACTCCTTTTCATCATTCATACAGGGAGCCAGGCTGCTGGTTGCTGGTACCCTGCCAGCAAAAAACCCTTACCCAAGTGTGGGAAAAAAATCAATTAAAATGTTCAGAAATCAGACAGACAAAGCACTGTGTTTCTTAAAAAAAAAAAAAAAAAAAAAAAAAAAGTATGAAAACCTCTCACACCTATTTTAATAATTCTTTACACCATGGAGAAATAGCTGCCAGTGTTTACTCCACAGCATTACAAGGGCAAGTGGGAGAGGTCTAAAACAGCCAAGTGACAAGATGCTGGAAACCCTTGTCTGAAGCAAGGATCACACTGCTAAATGGAGAGGAAAGACCTCCTCTGCTCTACACATGAGACTTGGCAGGCTTGATCTTGCTGATAATATCAAAAGAGCGTGCAAGAACTATGAGCCAAGAGAGTGGGCTATTTCCTTGATTACTAAGCCTCTTTCCATGGCTGTGAAGGAACAGAGAAGCAACCCTCCCCCTACAGCAAGCTACTTCACCTACCACTCTGATCTTTCCTTATTAAGTTTAATATTGCCTCAAGCAATTACTAATCCAGCTGTGAACAAACTTTCTTTTGTTAAACCTGGAACAAAAACTCCTGATACAAGCAGGGCTGGCTGCTGGTGCATGCCTGTAAAGGAGTAGAAGCACAGTAGCTTGCATATCCCTTAAATCTGTTTGTGGTCCAGGGTTTCTGTGCAAGCAAGACCAGACAGGTCAGCATAAACAACTGAATTTTTTCCATGTTAGCGCTCCCAGCAGCCCCAGAGGAGGAACAAGGCTGTGCTGGGCACCAACAGAGAGCAGGCACCAGCAGGTGCAGGAAAATCACCTCTCCTGAGATGCCTTTCGACTCACAGACTCATGTGCTGCCCTTCACTACCTATGTTCCAGCCTTTTTTGACATTACTGTCACAAAGGGACTGCAATTAGGTCCAGTATATAACATGTACAACTGAAGCACATCTACCCTATTCTATGTATCATTCCCCAGCTTTCAGAGATATGGGCAAAATGGAAAAGCACTGCAGAGAGCATTTCTGACAGGCTCTAGCCTAGGCTTGATTCGGATGTTAGCAGATCTAAACGCCTGTTCTCTTCTTGAGACCCATCAGTGAATCTCATTACTGGCTGTACAATACTGCCCTAGCTGACAGTTTTCACAGCTCCTCCCTATCTTTTAAGTCCGTGCCTTCTTCTGCCTGGGCAAGGCACTGAAGACGGGCAGCTGCCATCTCTCCTGGGATGTAAAGGTGTTGCTGTTGGTGCCTCCTACCACTTCTGTGACAGGGCTGTTCTGTTGGTTGGGTGAGGCAAGGTTTCCAATGGAGCAGGCAACACGGGAGACGGACGCAG